CCACTCTTATAGCATTTGCAGAGAACCGCCCAGCTGTCCTGTTTAGGGTGACCCGCTCCCTACTTCAAGTGGAAGCGAGGGAGGACCCCTTGCAGGGTAGAGCTGAGGATTTTGTGCAATATTTGCATGATAAAATCTCTCAGATTCGGGACGGCCTGGACTCCGACTGGGTAGTTTGGGACGGGATGATGGGGGTGAGCCTTGAGAGTGTTATCTGGGAGGAGTTTGACCCTGTGGCTCCTGAGGACGTGGACAAGATTTTTGGGAGGCTTAATGCTACCACATATTTATTGTACCTGTGTCCCTCCTGGTTGGTGCTGGCCTCCTGGGAGGTTACATGAGGCTGGTTTCAGGAGATTATTAATGCTTCGTTGAGTGAGGGTGTCTTCCCATCCGCCTTGAAAGAGGTGGTGGTGAGGCCTCTCCTCAAGAAGCCTTCCCTGGACCTGGCTGTATTAGCTAACTACCGTCCTGACTCCAACCTCCGCTTCACGGAGTGGTTGGTGGTGGTGCGACAACTTCCTAGATTCCTGGATGAAGCTGTCTATCTAGATCCGTGCCAGTCGGGTTTCAGGACAGGTTACAGCATGGAAACGGCATTGTTCGCATTGGTTGATGACCTCTGGAAGGCCCAGGACAGGGGTTGCTCCTTTATCCTGGTCCTCCTGGACCTCTCCGCGGCTTTTGATACCATTGATCATGGTATCATGCTGCGTCAGCTGGAGGGGATGGGAGTGGGGGGCACTATGTTACGGTGGTTCTCCTCCTTCCTCTCTGACCGTATGCAGTCTGTGTTGACCGGGGGACAGAGGTCAACCTCAAGGCTGCTCACTTGTGGGGTGCCACAAGGGTCAGTCCTCTAGCCCCTCCTGTCCAACATTTATGTGACACCCCTGGGGTGAAGTGTCAACTGTATGCCAATTACACACAGTTGTACATTTCAACCCCAGGCCACCCCAATGATGCCCTTGATGTGATATCCCATTGCCTGGAGGCTGTGCGGATCTGGATGGGGAGGAACAGGCTCAGACTCAACCCCTCCAAGACTGAGTGGCTGTGGTTTCCGACATCCTGATATAGCCAGCTAGACCCATCACTGGCTATTGGGGATCAGAGAGGGCTCCTGAACTCACGGCTGTCGTTGGATGATCATATGTTGGCCATAGCCAGGGGTGCCTTTTATCAGGTTCACCTGATCTCCCAGTTGCATCCCTTTCTGGATCAGGATTCCTTGCACACAGTCACCCACGCCCTCCTCATTTCCTATCTGGACTATTGCATTGCTCTCTACATGGGGCTCCCCTTGAGAAGCACCCGGAGGCTGCAACTGGTCCAGAATGCGGCCGTGTGAGTGATAATGGGGGTGACCCGTCGCTCCCATGTAACACCTCTCTTGCATGAGCTGCACTGGCTCCCAGTGGTCTTCCAGGTGCGTTTCAAGGTGTTGGTTACCATCTTTAAAGCACTCCATGGCTTAGGGCCTGAATATTTACAGGACTGCCTGCTGCCACTGACTGCCTCCCACCGACCATTACACTCACACAGAGAGGGCCTCCTCAGGGTGCCGTCAGCTAAACAATGTCGACTGGTGACTCCCAGGGGGAGAGCCTTCTCTGTGGGGGCTCGTGCCCTATGAAACGAATTGCCCCCAGATATATGAAGAATCCCCTGGCGACTCCCAGGGGGAGAGCCTTCTCTGTGGGGGCTCATGCCCTATTGAATGAATTGCCCCTGGATATACGAAGGATCCCCAACTTCCGTGCCATCCATCATGTGCTGAAGACCCTGATATTCCAACAAGCCAGTCTGATGGGACAATAATTTTAATCGGGTTTTAAATATGGGTTTTTAATATGGTTTTATAAGGGTTTTAGAACGGGAATTTTAAATTTGGCCAAAATTGAATTATTTTAATATGGTTTTTAAATTTGTCTTGTATATTGTTTTATTATGGCTGTTCACCACCCTGAGTCCTTTGGGGGAAGGGCGGTATAAAAATATAATAAAAATAAATAAATAAATAAATAAATAAATAAATAAATAAATATAAATAAATAGCTATCGATGAAGAAATTATTAACAAAATGATTTAATGTGCCGAAATGAGTAAACTGACCTTTGAAATTGGAGAACAGGAAGATAAACAATATTATTTGATACGGGACTTATTTTATCAATGGATAGGCAATAAATCTTGGAGATAACTATGTAATAAATGGAAGTTGATATAAATTAAGTGATATAATTTCTAAAGGAAATGAGCTTGGGACATCTAGTGATAATTATAAGGGGGGAGGAGCACAAAAGAATGTCACCGATTGATATACTGTCTGTGATTGTATAGAATGATGAATGTTTTTATGTTTTGTTTTTTGTTGTTTGTTTTAAAATAAAAAAAAGTTTTATACATAAAAAAAAACAGAACAGAACAGAATAGAATAGAATTACAGTAATGCCTTTACACATACATATATTTACAGCTCTATTTTGCTTTATGGATCTAATGATTTTATTTTTTGTCTTGAAGCTCATGCATTCCTGCCTCTGCAAGTCCTCACATGTCTTGAAATTGTGAATGAGACATATGTGACTGTCTCACTATTATTATGAAATTAGCCAGTTTGCCTTTTCCAAATACTATGGGACTCCATGAAAATGGGAGCAACTGACACTAAATAATGGTAATTATTGTCCCCATCCTATTCCAACCCATGGCTGGGACCCCCAAAGCTCTGTGAGTAGATTTGATAGTATGTTGCACTCTCTAATTTTGTCTGAAGAACACCTCCAGGAGGCAGATCTCTCTGATCTATTTCAAAGATCTTGTAGAAGACAGAGGCATTTCTACATAGAAAGAAGACACTCATCGAAGATGTTACTATTGGTGGAGAAACTGTTAATAGTATTGCCTAAAGTGCTGTGCAAGAAATCAACCCTTCAATGTGACTTTCGGGAGCCTCTTCCTATTCGGCACACCTATCATCAGCTTGGAGATGTTAATTGCTGGCATTATTTCTGCATTTGTGATATTTTCTGACCCCATTGAGTTCACTCAACATCCTTCACAGGCATTTCATGATGGATTTCTGTAAGTATATCATTAATTTATTGTCAAGTTCTGAACTTTGCTGGTAAATCATATCATTCTTGAAATATTTTCCACTAGTGGTAAAAACTCCTGATAGAAACATCTAAAATAGGATGCTTCAGTTTATTTTATCTGATGTTATATTTTACTTCATTTTCTAGGTAAAGTTGAAATAGCTGAAATGGAGATCAAATCTCCATTTATAACAAATCACATCTCAATATCTGTTAATATACAGGTATGTATGGTTAATTCCATACAAATTAATTCCATATGAATATGAAGCTGTTACTACCATTAAGGAAGAGAAAGCATATATTTCCCATGACATGTTTCATCATTCTTTATTTCAGGTACCAAAATGTAGCAATTTCCTTTTGCATATAAGACATTCTTAAATCGCTGCAGTTTGATAGTGAACCATTCTCACGTATAGAAACAAGAATTGTTTCACACATTCCACAAAATATGTTGTACGAAAGGATTGTAAGTGCCATAATGTGATAAAGACCTTTCTTAATGTGCTGTTTCTAATTCTGTTTTACAGAATAATTTTTCAGAATTACCAGCATATCCTGGCTTTAGTGTTTACTGTAAAAGAGATAAATGAAAATCCCCAGATCCTACCCAACATCACGCTGGGCTTCCATATTTTTAACAGCAATTTTAGTCCAAGCTGGACTTTCTTTGCCTCAATGATTCTACCTTTCACTCAGGGCAAATTCATCCCTAACTACAAGTGTGGGATCATAAATACATTGGCTGCAGTCATTGGGACACCTGACATCTCTCTTCACATGGCAACTGTACTGGGAATCTACAAAGTTCCTCAGGTAAGATGTGTTGAGGATATATATTATCATTTTGCCATATGTCCACAACATTCCGCAAATGTTGGTATGCTTCTTTTTGTAAAAAGAGAGATCTTTCAGATTCCTAGATATTATTATCTGCTTGCTAGAATCATCATAGCACCATGAATCATTGTCATTCTGAACAGATGGTGGTGATATTTGACACAGCAAAATGTGCCCCAATTCCAGACATTGAACTATGCTCAAATTTGAAATATTCACAATGAGACTACTTTCAGAAAAAAAATATATATTTTCTGATACCTCAAGAGTGACATCTTGGTTGATATTTCATAATAAACACAACTAATTGCATAATTTCAGTATATAAGGTGTAAGATACCCAACTGAAATGAATGTACATGATTTCAGAGGCTCACATGCAATAGAATCGTCAATTGCATATGTTTATCTTTCTGTAGTTGACCTATGGCTCTGCTCCAGTCATAGATAAAGAGACTCAAGCAGTTTTCTTCCAACAAATGTTTCCGAATGAATCCCACCAATGTAAGGGCCTCCTGCAGTTATTGCTGTATTTTAGATGGATCTGGATTGGAATTCTTATAGTAACAGATGAAAAAGGAGAGATATTCCTCCAAAAGGTACTCCCCACATTTTCTGAGCATGGCATCTGCACTGAATTCATAGCAGAATTCCCAACTGGAGCTTTTTACAGTGATTTTGATGAAACCGTAGATGAAGTGCGACATATATACCATGTTCTCATGAATAGCACAGCCAATGTGATAATTTTATATGGTGAAATTCAGTCCTTAACAGTTCTGAGAACTGTCCTCCAGATTTCAGAAGTGGAGGATATACCAAAGAAGAATAAGATTTGGCTTATAACTGCTCAAACAGATTATACTTCAATTTCCGTTCATAAAACTTGGGATATCCATTCTCTGCACGGTGCTGTATCCTTTGCAGTTCACACAATGGAAATCCAAAACTTCCAGGAATTTCTTCAAAATCTAAATCCAAGCAACAATCAGAATGATCATTTTCGGAAAGATTTCTGGGAACAGGCATTCAGTTGTTTCTTCCTAAACTCAAAAATGGAGGAGTCTGAGAAGAAATGTACTGGACAGGAGAAGCTTGAAACCCTTCCTACATCTGTGTTTGAAACAAGCATGAGTGGCCAGAGTTATAATATTTACAATGCGGTCTATGCTGTGGCACATGCTTTGCAATCCCTCTCTATATCCAAATCTAGAGAAACAAGAATGATGAAAGAAAGAAGGAAACATTTTCACAATCAAGTGTGGTGGCAGGTAAGTCTGTTACCAGGGTAGTGAGAAACTACCATATCTGTAGTTGCAACATGTGTCCAAAAACTCTAGCAAACAACATTTTCCAGGGATATGGATGTCTGAAAACCCAAAAGTGAGATTTAATAATGGATTAAGTAATCAAAATATTCATAGGCTGATATTCAAATTGTAAATGGCATTCTACAAAATTTCTTAAAATATGTTTCTCTCCATGAAATTAACCTCCTGTCAAGCCCAAAATCAAGAATAACAGATAGTAATTCTTCTAAGCTGATTCCTTCTTGTTTTACATCTATAGATAAAATTTTGTCAATCTGAGCACTCTACTATCTGTATCTGCAATTTACTCGGTGAATTATTGGAGGGGGGGTATGTTATTTCTCTTTCTCACAGACACAATATCCAATCTGAAATGTCTTTAACCTCTCTGAAATGCTCCTCCTCCATCCTGCGAAGCCACTTCCTTATTATTCCATAAATTCAGTCTATGAATAAATGGAGGGAGGTTATTATTGAATGTTGAAGCTGTATTGGTTGTTGTTCTTGTTGTTATACATGCTTTATTTGGAATGTTTGCATTTGCAGACACAATTCATTTATTCTTGAAAGTACAATCATGCCAGTGGTGGGTTCCTACCAGTTCTCCCAGGTTTGCGTGAACCGGTAGTGGCAATGGCAGGAGGCTCCGCCCACTGCCCAGATTTCATCATGAACGTTCTGGGCATCTGCATTCACGACAGCGAACCGGTAGTGAAGGCAAGTGGAACCCACCACTGAACCATGCCAATATTTTTTGGTATTTCCTGATGAGGATCTTCCCATACAATCCATGGGTGGAAGAGGAAGGACTGATATATTGTGTCATTCTTATTCAAAGAAGATTCAGCCTGCTGTAATGTTTCCATTTTATGAGGCATTGGTTCTGACCTCTTTATAGACCATTTGAGAGTCACCTGCATTTCTACACCCAGTTATTCACAACACATGCATAGTTTTAGAGCAAATGGATGGAATGAGAGCAGCCTTATATGCTTCTAGGAACATGGCTCTATGAGAAGAAGGGAAAGGAGTAAAAGTGTTTTTAATATCTCAGGCACTAAATAAAAGAAGACCAAGGTGGGATGTTAATTTGAGCCTATGTGAGATATTAATGTGAGACATTTAGCAATAGCAATAGCACTTAGACTTATATATAAAGTGCTTTTAAAGCATCATTGCTCTCTAAGCAGTTTACATCATTGCTCCCAACAATCTGGGTTCTCATTTTACCCACCTTGGAAGGAGGGAAGGCTGAGTCAACCTTGAGCTGGTGAGATTTGAACTGCTGAACTCCAGCTAGCAGTCAGCTGAAATAGCTGAAGTAGCCTGCAGTACTGCACTCTAACCACTGCACCACCTCGACACAGTGTACTCCCACTGGATGAAACAATCATAGATTTCAAATGATGGACATTTCAGTCATCAAATTCAGCATCCGCTTAATGCAGGATTTTAAATTCCAGCAGCCCCTGCTGATGTTGACTCTGGCTCTACTTTAATGCATCCAATAAAAGAAATGTCATTAGTTAGTTAGTTAGTTAGTTAGTTTATTATATTTATATACCGCCCTTCTCCCGAAGGACTCAGGGCGTTGAACAGCCATGAGCCAATATACAACAAAATTTTAAAAACTTAATTAAAATAATTCAATCATTGGCCGAATTTAAAAACCCAACTAAATTCATTTAAAAACCCCTATCAAAACCCAATTTAAAATCCTTTATCCCGTCAGACCAGCTTGCTGGAATAATAGCTTCTTTAGAGCACAACGGAAGGCGCGGAGGTCGGGGATCCTTCGTATGTCGTTTCATAGGGCCGGGCCCCCCACAGAGAAGGCTCTCCCCCTGGGGGTCACCAGCCTACATTGTTTGGCCGACGGCACTCTGAGGAGGCCCTCTCTTTGGGAGCGTATTGGTCAGTGGGAGGCAATTGGTGGCAGGTCCTAAGCCATGGAGCGCTTTAAAGGTGTTAACCAACACCTTGAAAGGCACCCGGAAGACCACTGGGAGCCAGTGCAGTTCGCACAAGAAGGGTGTTACATAGGAGAGATGAGTCACCCTCATTACTAGTTGTGTGGCTGCATTCTGGACCAACTGGAGCCTCCAGGTGCTCCTCAAGGGGAGCCCCATGTACAGAGCATTACAATAGTCCAGCTGGGAAGTGACGAGGGCGTGAGTGACTGTGCGCAGGGCATCCCAATCCAGAAAGGGACGCAACTGGGAGATCAGGTGAACCTGATCGAAAGCCCCCCTGGCCACGGCCATCATATGATCTTCCAAAGACAGCCATGAGTCCAGGAGGACACCCAAGTTGCGAGCCCTCTCTGAGGGGGGTAAGATCTCATCCCCAATAGCCAGCGATGGTATTAGCTGGCTATATCAGGCCATCGGGAGCACAGCCACTCAGCCTTGGAGGAGTTGAGTCTGAGCCTGTTCCTCCCCATCCAGATCCCCACGGCCTCCAGGCAGCGGGACATCACATCAAGGGCATCATTGTGGTGGCCTGGGGTTGAAATGTACAACTGTGTGTCATCGGCATACAGTTGACACTTCACTCCAAAGCCACGGATGATCTCACCCAGCAGTCATTGCCCTTTGGTCCTCAATTTCCATTGCCTAACTTCTTCTACTAAGACTTTATTTCCTAGGTAGAATATACCATGTTTCCCTGAAAAATAGGCCCTGGCCTTATTTTCTTTTAGGCCCCGAAATGAGAACTTGGTCTTATTTTCAGGTGTCTCTTATTTTTTTCAGGTACAGGGAATAGAAAGTCCACCAGCCCCATCCTCTCTGTCCCAATGCTTGCTGCCCTGCTGCTACAAGGACACTTCTCAACCGCTGGCCTCCAAAAAGTGGCCTATGCTGCTGCTGACCTCATGGGGGCTCTTTGCCCCCCTGGTAGTGCTGCTCTCGGCTACCCAAGTCATCCCAGATCTATGACCTCCAGACCACCCCCCTGCTGCCAGTTGAGCCGTGCTGACTGTACCGCCTCTCACAGCCAGCAAATGGTGGGGTGAGGTGGTGCCATGGTACAGCCAGGCCTTCGCAGTTCCAACTGACAAATGGGGTCCTCCAGCTTTGCCACACACTCTGCAAGGAAAGACAGATGGTGGAACGTATTACATTCCTTTCTCCCTGGCGCCATAAAGTCTGAACCTGCTTCCGGACATCGTCTTCCCCATGTGCATCCTTGCCAACTCCTATGCTGGCTACCCCCACCGCCCCACTACTGCTGCTGATTATCTGAACTAGGGCTTATTTTGGAGGGGTAGGGCTTATATTGTGAGCAGCATGAAAAAACATGCTAGGTCGTATTTTCGGGGTAGGTCATTAATTTTACATTTTACTTCATAAAAGTAAGTCTATCTTTGATTATATTGTAAATTTTACTGGCAGCCTTTACTTAATGATAGTCATTGGGACCTGAGTTTCAATTGCTAAGTGATGCAGGTATAAGTTGTGACATCACTTGACCATGTGGTTTAGCAACAATAATTTTGGCAGACCCCAGTTACCATTGTTAAGTGAGGATTGCATAGTTTTTAAAGCATGGAATTCATGTGAGCACAACATCCAATTTCCTTCTAGCTTCCCCATTGACTTTGCTTGTGGAAAGCTAGCAAGATAGACTACAAATTACAATCAAGTAACTGTGGAATGCCATGACAGTCAGAAATAAAGGCCCATTCCTGACTTCCTGGATTGTGATCATACAAGCACAGTAAGGAAATCCTAAGTATCACTTGTTCTGCACTTACAATTTCTTATAATTTCAGATGGTTGCAGAACAAGCAGTCATTAAACAATCAACACCTGTACTTATGGGTTGCTGTGCTATCTCAGTTATTGTTGTTGGTATGTCACTAACTCCTCTCTGAATCTTTGCAACCCCATGAACCATAGCATCCCAGGCCCTCCGATCCTCCAGTATCTTCTACAATTTGCCCATATTAATGTTCATTGTGCTGATGACACTACCTAACCATCTCATCCTTTGTTATCCTCTTCTCCTTTTGCCTTCAATCTTAAATAACCTCAAGGTGTTGTCCAATGAGTCCAACATGTGCCAAAGTATCTGAGCTATGTGGACATAAGCTGAAACATATGATACACTTTGCAAGTAATTATATTGTCAGTGTCCATTTCCATCACTTTTTTTCTTTGTTTGTTTGCTAAAAAATTAATCATTTCTAAAAATTTAAATACATTCCCCATTGCTAATAGTTTATAAGAGTTCTTGACCATTTGTTCTCTTGAAAAATTCATTACTATCTTTCCTGTCTTAAGTGCCTGTCTCTTTTTTCTGTGGTTTTCCCTCTTAGAATTAAAGTAAGTAAACTATATTTTTTTTCAAATGTTTTGTTGAAAAAAGAAATAGAAAAAGTTGTAAAAATTTTAAAAAAATTAAATTAAAAATGATATTTAAGAGTTGAAAAAAGGTTAAAATTTGAACAAATAATTTAAAAATTGAAAAAAGAAATTAAAAAATTTGAAGAGGATTATTTCTTTTCAAAAAGGGGGATCTACAGTGATCTGGGAGCCCATGAAAATAAAATCTGTTACTGTTTTCATTTGTTCCACTTCTATTGGCTATGAAGTGATGGGACCAGATGCCATATTCTCAGCTTTTTAATATTGCGTTTCAAGCCACGTTTTGCACTCTACTCTTTTACCTCATCAAGAGGCTCTTTAGTTCCTTTTCACTTTCTGCCATTAGTGTGGTATCATCTGCATATCTGAGCTTGTTGATATTTCTACTGTTGCAATATTTTCAGGATCAGACTCAATAAATTTAGTAAGAGTTAAGAGTTCAAATATATCTCTCTTTATTTACACAAGGCATTCTATATTCACTGAATATTCACAGATAGAAGCAAGGAAAATGGTGTATACAGCTCCTTATATATACAATGGGTGGAGCTAAGTATGGGAGTGGTGAATTATGAATACATTAAGAAGTGA